GTGTGACCCTGTTTCAATAAATAAATAGATAGAAATGTGGAATAACAGAGAAAAAGAGACCATGAGGTTGTGAGGAAGCAAGGTGGTGGGTTGTACAGGGAAGGGGTGAGGAAATGGAAAGGAAAGGGAGAAAGTAATGTGATTACATTTTAATTTAAAAATTAAAATATTTTACATAAATAATAAAAATCTTTTTTTGAAAAAAAAAAAAAAAAAAGGACGATTTCTGGAAACTGGGGACATAGCTCATTTAATACAGTGCCTGTCTAGCATGCAGGAGGCCTCAGGTTCAATTCCCAGCACTAGAAAACGTGGCCTGGTATCACATGCCTGTAATTCCAGCATTCCTTAGAGGCAGGAGGATCAGAAGTTCAAAGTCATCCTTAGCTACACAGTGAGTTCAAGGATAGCCTGTACTACCTGAGACCTTGTCTCAAAAAAAAAAAAATCTGTATAATATGTATATTTTAGTGATAGAGTCAGAATACACCACATTTGTTGAAGATTCTTTAACAGAACACTGCCTGCTTTAATTCAGCCTAACTAGGTTTGGGGGAAGAGAGGAACATGACCTTGGAAAGCAGCTGAGGCCCCTTTCTGACAGGGCAAAGCACTTGGCATAGAGCAAACGGATGGCGAGAGGTGGCAGAGGATGCCAAAGAAAACATCCAAGCGCGATGGGGCAGGGGGAGGGGCGCGGCCTGGGGAAGCCGGGAACTACCCTCTGAGGTGTGAAGGGTGGCTACAGGGTGGGGGAGGGCCAAGGATCCAGTGCCTCCTCACCCCAAACCCTTTCTCTTGTAAATGCCTTTCTCTAGTGCACCGCCCCCACCTGAAGACGGCCTGCCCCAAGCTCAGTTGTGGATGTCTTTGCATGATCTGGGCTGCAGGATTTATCTTCCAAGGTGGAGGCTTGGCCCGCAGGCCTTAGGCTACCAGGAATGCCCTGGAGGAAGACTTCAGGAGGACGGACGAGGCCGCCAGTGTATTTACCCTGTGCAGTGGGGGTTCACTAAGGGAAAAAATTAGCAGTGTACAGATCAAGTTTCACAATACAGCTCTCATACAGATTCCCATAATTCAATCTTCAAGGAAAACCCCAGATAAGCTATTCTGAGCCTTTTTTTTTTTTTGGTCTGGATGTGGGGAGGAGGAGGAGGGTGTTCACCACATTTTCTAACCCATTTCGCCAAAGGAAAAATCCAAATGCATTGCGGCCTGGGGGTTGGTGTGTTTTCACCCTTGCAGGAGAGGGCCCTTAGGTTAGACTCTGACTCAACTGGAGGTCTTGAGGCTCTAACCTACTCAGGGCAGGCAGATGCTGAGCCCTGCCAGTACATTTTAGAGGGGAAAAAAAAAAAGATTTTTGGTTTGGGATGTTGCTCAGTGGCAGAATCCTAGTCTAGCAAAGGTAAGGTTCTGAGTCTCATCCTTAGTTCCTCCAATACAAAATAAGGGTATGGTGACACATGCCTTTCATCCCAGCATGGGGGTGGGGGGTGGGGCAGGACTGTCTCAAAAAACCAAACCAAAATAACCAACAACACCAAGTTTCAGTGTGGACATTGGCCATGCCTAGCTTCTCCTTTATTTCCTCAACACCACGCAGGTAAAGGTCTCCTTTGTGGAGACAAAGAGTGGTCGGTTTCTTGGTGTCAGTTAGGAAGCAAACCTTTTGCAGGGACTAGGGGTCCTGGGCCTGGAGCAGGCACAACCTGAGACCCTTCCTCTAAAACGCCACTGCTTGGGGGACCTGCGGTGGGCTAGGGGTGCAAAGCAGGTGTGCTGGGCAGCCAGGGCTCATCTCAGTGGGAGTAGGATGTATGTAAAGAGAAGAGTCATATTTCCCTTTCTGTGACAGTGACCAATTTCTGAATTTAGTAAGCCTGTTCCTGTCCTGGCTGGCACCACAGAGATTAAGCAGGAAGTGGTGGCCAGAGGACAGGACGTGGGCTGTGGGCTATGCAGCCCCCACCAGATTACCCCTCTGCCCTTTTCCTCTACCTTTGGGACCACAAGGTGGCCTTTTCCCCAATCCAAGGGTGGCCCCTTCCAGGTCTCAGCCTCGCGC